CTCTCTCTCTCTCTCTCTCTCTCTCTGACAGACAGACTCTCTCTCTCTCTCTCACAGACACACAGACACACACACACACACACACACACACACACACACACACACACACACACAGAAGGGAAGCAACACGAACACCAGTTGTTGTTAAAATATGAATGTACGTTGTGTTTAGTGTCTGTTACCCTGTCTTCATATTTGTCTTCTGTTGATGTTGCAAATGGAGCTGCTGTGAAACAGACTATAACGTGTCGTCTCATATCAACGTGTCGTCTCATATCAACGTGTCGTCTCATATCAACGTGTCGTCTCATATCAACGTGTTGTTTCATAGAATTATCGAATTCAGAGAAAGAGCGGCTAGAGGAGAAACAAAGGGCGTCGCGCAGAGATCGCTCCGTGGAGGAGGAGGAGTGGAGCACCAGGTGAGAGGTTGATTCTGATATCAAATGAATGTGTGGTGTCAACAGTCTGTAAACCCTCCTCCTCCTCCTCCTCCCCCCTTCTCCTCCCCCTCCTCTCTAACCTCAGGTGGTTCCAGTTGGGAACGAACCCTCACACGGGAGCGGAGGATTGGCTCTACTCAGGTGGATACTTTGAGCGAAACTACTCTGACTCTCCCAACATTTATTGAGACACACACGATCTGCGGAGGAGGTGTGTGTGTGTGTGTGTGTGTGTGTGTGTGTGTGTGTGTGTGTGTGTGTGTGTGTGTGTGTGTGTGTGTGTGTGTGTGTGTGTGTGTGTGTGTGTGTGTGTGTGTGTGTGTGTGTGTGTGTGTCACCATGCTGCTGCAGAACACAAAGCTCTTGACTCTAAATCCTTTTTAGTTCGGGCTCGTCCTCTTTCCACACACTTCTCACCCGTTAGCATTCAGATTTCAGGGCTCATTGAAACACTTCTTGTTTAGATATATAAACAACAACAATTTGAATATTAGATGTGTATTTTCACCCTGTCTCTGAACGGAGACGTACCGTAGGGATGAAAGCTGCTTATAATAATAATCATGTTTAGCCACACAGTACGCACAGTGTTTCATAGATACTGTATTATAATAATAATAATGATATTTGGCGCTGGCATGAAGAGGATTATTTAAAGCCATATTTTCTGCACTAAATATAAATCTGTAAACACAGGAGCATTTTGTGTTTTTCTAACACTATGAGAAATGTTGATGCGATACTCTGAGCCATGCAGTCTAAATAATAATGAATATATTAACAATATTAAAGCATTTTATAACTCCTATTATTATTCTTTGTCTATCTCGAAAACACACTAGCTGTAATCAGGAAGTATAATACTCCCAGGGAGACACTTAGGATGTTTTATTCTAACGTTTATTTTGGCAAATGTACTCCGTTATAGGTTGCCGAATTCCCCTCGTGTTTGCATTGTACCCGTAACATCTGCAGATATCTTTCACTGAGTGACTTTTAGACTCAAGAGAAGTGGAAAACATGAGGATTCTCAGGCGAATGTGACGTTTATAAGAAGTGTCTTTTACTTTAAGCGTCATTTATTAAACAAAAATATATATATTTAATTTAGGCTTTTTTGAGGGATCCAGAGGCCCAATGCTGGATAACCTCTTATTTAACCCATTTGTGCCCAAATACTTCATTAAGTATGATCATTAAAAACGTGGTTTGAAAGTCTTTGAATCTGGTACGGAAATACTCCAGGCAAATATTTAACTGTACATTTTTTTTACATTACAGGTAAAAAAGGGAAACCGCTTTTTTTAAGGTGTTGCATTTAAAACAAAAAATATTCTGCATGTGTGAGAAATACGGAAGAGGTGTAGAGCAACATGTGAATATATTACATTTTGTTTGGGTCTGAAATTAAAGTCAGAATTCTGAGATTTTCAGGGAAAAAAAGAGAGATTTTTTTTTTCCGTTTTTAGAAAATGTTGCAGATTCCTTTCCTCTTTAAGGAACGTTTTGGGTACACACGGGTTAAAGAGAATTCTGTGTTTGTTACTGACTCTGGATAAATAGGGTGATTGTTTCACACATGTAAGCAACTCATTTCTCATCCATCCAAAAATCAACAAAATCCAGGGCCCAGGAGTTCAAAACGTTTAATCTCAATCAGATCAGATCAGATTTTGAAATCCCATTTTTTGTGATCCAGGATCAGTCAAGTCGGAGGACAAGGAGTTCAAAGCAATTCAGGATTACGATTTTTCAAGATGACTAGATCCTGAATATCAGTGCTTTAATCCTACCGATCGCCATCTAGTGGACATAAAAAATAGTACAAGGAAGACAAGAGACCACGTTGCAGAGACATCTATAATGTCTAATTATATTTTTTAATTTGAAAGGTGATGACAGATGATGGACTTTTTTTTTGTTGAAGATATTTTTTCTTTAATCTAAATTACATTTGTGACAATCTTTGCTGTGATACTTTTATGAGCATAAACATTTATGCCATCAACATTTGGTTGAAAACAAAATAGGCCACCACAAACGTGAGCAAAAATGGAAAAAATAAAATGTATTTCCCATGAAGGCTAAAAATTGTGTATTATTTCAGTTAACAAACGTTGCCATCTTATATAAATTGAAATATATTTTAAAATAAATTGTACAGTACATTTTGCTCTGGTAATCC